TTGTACCCGGTGGTGGTGGCCCCGAGGGCTGGGGGTGTCGCTGAGCGTGGCCCCGGGGAGGAGCTGCTGTTTGTGCCAATGGGCACCGTCGCCCCCTCGCTGGGTGACACGAGGTGGATGGGGATGGTGGTGATGCCCCTCTCGGGTGCTGCCTGTATGCCCGGCTCTGCTGGCAGCAGCGTGTCAGGCTCAGGGGATTCGGTTTCATCCAAGGGATCGGCTGCGGTTGGCACCACCAGTGCCCAGTGCAGGCTGGCGTTGGTGCTGGGTGCTGCTGGTGGTGCAGAGCTCAGCAATGGGTCGGCTTTGGGGGTATCGGTCTCATCCAGGGGATCGGCTGTGGTTGGCACTGCTGGTGCCTGGTGCAGGCTGGCGTTGGTGCTGGGTGCTGCTGGTGATGGTGCGGAGCTCTGCAATGGGTCGTGCTCAGGGGAATCGGTCTCATCCAAGGGATCGGCTGTGGTTGGCATCACCAGTGCCCGGTGCAGGCTGGCGCTGGGTGCTGCTGGTGCTGGTGTAGAGCCCATGAGCGGGTTGGGCTCAAGGGAATCGGTCTCGTTGCTGCTGGGCATCGCGGTGGCACCGCGGCCAGGTCCCGGTGCGGAGGCACCGAGCTGCTTCCCGACACCGTCCCTCTTCCCACGGGCGAGCAGCGGGGCCTCATCCTGCACCCCCCAGACCCATTGCACACCCTGGTGCTGAGGTGCGGCCCCGCACGCTCGCAGGGTGCTCAGCACCAGCAGCACCAGCACTGCCGAACACGGCGCCATGGGACCTGCGGGGAAGAGATGGGGAGGTGAAACCGGGTCCCGCTCCGGCGGGAGGATGCTGAGCAGGATTCAGGCTGGAAATGGCCTCAAGGAGGGATTGCCCTTGAGCAAAGCCTCCTCCTCCCCTCCTAGAGAGGGGACTGTGGGTCTGGGGGGGGCGGATGAACCCCAGCCTCTTCCTGCTCCTCCTGCGGGGCTCAGCCCCGGCCCTGTGCTTGCTAAGAAAGCCTTGAGAAGGAAGTGGAGTGTCTGGAAATGGGAAACGAGCCGCGATGGAGGCGCCTGCTGCAGGATGGGGCAGTTGCAGGATGACGCCCGTGCAGAAATGAAACCACGGGGGGGGGTGTTCACACAGGGTTTTTGGGGTGCTCCATTGTCCCCTTCCACCGGCCGGGCTGGTGCCGCGTTCCGAGGATGAGGCCACCATGAACCTGTGCATCTGCACCGCGGTTGGAGGGGCAGCAAACCCCCCCCAACCCCAAATCCCCCCTTACATCCATCAGTCACCAATACCCCCTCTGACAGCAGCAGCCCTGCGGTCCTGCACCAACCGCATCCAAACACGGATCAACGCTCCCCTGGCACCGAGCATCCCTGCTAGGCTCCCACATCCCAGAACATCCCCCCTCCCCTCCTGCAAACCCCACTGACCAGCGCTGCACGGAGCACGGCACCCCTGGGACCCACACATACCCCTGAGCCTCTCTGCACCCGCAGCATCCCCAACCCAGCACCTCCCCATTGGCGCTCACCTCTGCCGGGGGCCGCGGTGGGACCCGGAGCTGCGGCTCCAGCGGGAATCACGAGCACCGGAGCAGGTCCAGCCCCAGGCTGGGTGATGCCGGGAGCAGAGGGGCGCCGAGGGCACCTCCGCCTGTGCAGGGAGGGGAAGGGGAGGCAGCACGGAAGAGCTGCTGTGGTTTCAGAGCCCTGCGTGGGGAGGACGTCACTCAGGAGCGGGGCCACAAGGACCGGGCCATGTGCAGGGTCCAAGGTGCCCTCTCAGCCCCCAAGGGCTGGGCAGGGCGGTGGGGATGGGGGTGCCCCCCAAAAGGGGTGTTTCACCCCTGCCTCGTGTCCCGGTGCCCACTGCGAGCTCCCCGGATGGCTCAGCCCCACTGGTGGCTTTGGTTGAGCTGGGTGCCGAAAGCAGAAGTGATGCAAACCTGGTGCCAAGGGCTGGCGGCCACCCCGGGCATGGTGTGGGCATGGCCATGGGGAAACAGGTCGTAGTGCACCAAGAGGTGACAGAGGGACCCCAACACTGGGAAACGGGCTCCACAGTAAGAGGAGGAGGAGGTTGAGGACCTGGCTCAATGCCTTTGTGCTGGGGGCCTCCTCCAAGCACCAGCGATGCTGTGGAGCTCTCGGGGGCTGCAGGGAGCCTGCAGGTTGCGGCTGTGTCAGGGGCACGTTGTGCTGCACCGGCTGGAACACCCGCCCTGACCGCAGGCACCGGGGCTGCGGCTGCAGGAAGGATGCTGCAAGAGCACATCCGCTGCTGCAGGGGCCATAAACAACACATGGCCCCCGGCAGGACCACGGGCTGGGCTCACCCCATCCCTGCCGGAAAGGCCCTGGCCAAGGGGTGGAACACACATGGAAAATAGGGATCAGGTCTGGGGGAGCAGCAGCCCTGGGATGGGTGCAGGGCGTGCACGGGTGGCCAGGGAGCATCTCATCTACAGCATCCCTGTCCCATCCCTGGGCAGCAGGGTGGAAGAAACACTGCAGCCCCAAGGGAAGGCTCCAACCTGGATGGGGACCGAGTGATTCCATCCCCAGCTGGGGCTGGCATTGCTGCTGCAGCACTTCCTGTGCCCTTGAAGGGGGTTTCAGCTGGGGAAGACCCATGCTGGTCCTTCCAGAGATTACATCACCCCAGTCTTGGCCAAGACCCCCCAACATCCCTGCCATTAAGTCCATATGGAGCCAACCTCTTGGGTTCACTCACAGGGAAAGCAGCAGCAGCAACTCCTGGTGTGTCCACAGGGATGGGCCCTGGATCCCCTGGGACACAGCGGGTGAGCAGTGGGGCCCCAGAGCACAGTCCCTGCTCAGCCACAAGCCCACACAGCCGGGTTTCTATGGCTGAGGTTAAGGGGAGCCCCATCATGGGTACGGTTAAACCTACGGCGCGGTGGGGGCAGGACGCAGGGAGGCAAAGAAGCAGCAAAGCAGAGGCAGTTTATAATCAATGACCTTTATCTTTTGAAAATGGAAGCAAAGATTTGGACAGATACTATGGCCGCTCTATAAGAGCGCATCTTTCAGGACTCGGCTGGTTCTCTTCTGGGATATCACGGCTACAAAAAGCTTCAGGCACTGACTCCGGTTGAGCCTGGGTAGGCATCAGGTCCATGAAATAAACCACAAGCTTAGCAACTAAATCCTCTGCCCTCCTCGGACCATCTCCCGCACACCGGCCTCTTGGGGCGCTTCCATCCATGGCTCCAAACACTCATTTCGCTCCAATTCAAACCCCCAAAGCATCCCCAGGCCTGGAGGGACCGGTCCACACGGACACAGAGCTCAGCGGCAGGGGGGAGCATCACGGATGGGGTTGGTTTCCAAAGAAAGGATTGGAATCAAACTGAAAAACACACATTTACTGCAATACAAAACCAGCACCAAACAGTCACGTAACCCGGAGCAACTGGATTGGGAATCCAGCATCAGTGGTCATGGATACTCCTCCTCCTCCTGTGCTCACCACTTACAACACAAAACCCCACGTGGATGAAGCTTCCATGCAAGCAGAACACATCCTCACGTCCCCCTGCAGCTACGTCACTTGGCCATCCCCACGGGGTGGTTTCACCTCACACACACACACACACACAGACATCCCTCCAGAACACAGAATCCTCAACCTGCAAGCTCTGAACATGCAAACCTTGGGGAGAGCAGGGAATGTGAAGAGTTCAAGCTACCCTAATGCAAAATGAGACTCGAAGCCATCACTTCAGCCCGGAGGAAGGGACACGTTCCTCCTGCCGAGTGGCAGCCACCAGAGATGCTGCTCTGCTGTGGTGGTTCCAAGCACACTCCGTGCGTGCAGCTCAGGGATGCAGGGAGCTGTTTCAGGGATCAGGACAGGCACTGAGGTTCCTCAGCCAACAGCTCTCGGGCACCCCATAGTCTTTGTTCACTTTGGGGTGCCAACACTGCCCCAGCACCACGGGGACGACAGCACCCATCCAGCCCAGTGTGGCTTCCAGAGTGCATGGATCCCACTCACACCACAGGGAGCTGCCCCTGACCCAGGCAGCCCCTTGCAGCCAAAATCCCTCTTAAGCAGAGCTTGAGACCTCCAAGAAAGCCCATGAGGAGCTCACGAGCCCGGTGTGCTCATGGGGTGCCTCCCCCAAGGATCCCAAAGGACCATGTGGGAAAGCAGCTCTGCAACCGGGATCAAAACCACCCTCCCCAGTCCCTGCTGCTCCACTGACCTGGGAGAGAAGCGCCTGGAGCTGGAGGATGCTCATCTGATCTGGGAGCAAATGGTTTCACAGAATCACTGATGGGTTGGAAGGGACCTTAAAGCTCCTCCAGTCCCAACCCCCTGTCATAGGCAGGGACACCTTCCACTAGAGCAGGATGCTCCAAGCCCCTGTGTCCAACCTGGCCTTGAGCACTGCCAGGGATGGATCTCCAGCACGGTGCTGGGCTGAGGGAGGAATGATGGAGAGGAAGAACAAGATAACAGCTGCATTTTGTTTCTGGAGACCCGTTGTGACAGAGTCACTTGGCTGCTGCTAATGCAGCACTGAGTGAAGGGCCAGGGGATTGCAAGCTCGTGGCATTCAAAAGCTTCTTAAAGCCAATGAGCATTGGTGGTGCAGGAGCAAGTATTTACAGCAACACGTGGCTGGAACAGAGAGCACGGAGAACCTGGAGGCCCCCATGGCTCACCTGAAGCTATGCTCCATGGATACAGGTAGAAACATCACCTGCATGAAAGGAACTTCTGCCTCAAAGTAAAAACCTGCCCCTTCTGCACATGGCTGGAGGAGTCCCAAACACGGGGATGTTTTAGAAGGGCACCGTGATGCTAGTTTGTAAGTGGAGTAAAAGAAGAGGTGTTCTGGGGGGGAATCACCTCATTCAGACTGACTTTTGATGTAAGCAGTCAGGCAGCGGTGGTGGGGACAGGGCAGGGAGGCAGCAGAGGCAGCTCCTGTGGGGTCTCAGCAGCAGCCTTGGCCACACTGCAAAGGAAACCCATCAGACTGCTCAGAACCTAAGGTTTATACAAAATAGCTTCAGTTTTGTTCTCTGAACAGTAGAAACACCCAGCACACACACACGCACACACACAGGCCGTGCTGTCCCTGGGAATTGAAAACACAAATACTGCAAAAGTGGCAAATCAGGAAAATAAAAAGCAACTTTTTTTTTCTTTTTTTTTTTTTTTTTTCCTCTTTTCTTTTTTTTTTTTTTTTTGGCAACTTTAAAAAATGGTTAAGAACAATGTGGCCTTGGTCCCTACATCTAGAAAAAAGATCTCTGGGCACAACATCGAGAGTCAGGATGGATGTGTCGTCAAGAACATCTGGGAGGGGAAATAAAACCCTGTCAAAGTAGCACTTATTTCTTGTGGCCTTGGTTGACACAGTCACAAAATTCATCAAAACATCAGGAAAAAAAGAAAAAAGATCTTTCACTAAAAAGCTTGGCTTGAAATCATCGCTCTCGTTGACGTGAACTGAGGAGAACAGGAAAGCTCGGACTGGAATGCTGCAGGCTGCTGCTTGCTCAACTGGGAACTGGGATGTGCCTGGGCTGGCGCCCCGCTCAGTCCGCGATCTTTGCCATCTGCTGCTCCAGCTTGGAAATGCGCTCGTCCTGGTTGGTGATGGTGTCTTTGATGGATTTCAGCTCTTTCAAAATCTCATCCAATTTGGCTTCGTTTTGCTGGAAGACAAGACAAGACAAGAGGTGTGGTTGTGAGGAGAGCGGCTGGGATGTGCTCTTGCAGAGGGGAGTCCCAAAGCAAGGGGCTTCTCTGAACTGGGTCCTCACGCTGCCACAGCTGGGATGCTCAGGGCATGGACCAGCCTTTCCAGCGCCAGCAGAGCAACCCTGGAGGACATACTGGGCCCACATCTGCTCTTTAACAACCTTTAAGGACCTGCTTGACTGACAGAGGTCACTTCCACATCTCTGTGTATTACTGTACCTGTGTTACTTACAGAGCCCACCTACGGACTTGTACAACTCCTTCTGGGCCTGCCTGGGCTCAGGTTCACTGCTCCCACTGCCTGTGCTGGGTTTTACACACCAGGAGCTCTCCCAGGCAGGTGGGTGGCTGGAACAAGAAGCTAAGCCTTCCTTTGTGCCACAGTCCCCAGTCATCTTCCACAGCTACACCCTGCCTGGAGCACCACAACTCAAGCACCACCTCAATTCCAGGTTACCCTCTTGGCACCCAAATCCCAGGGTACTTAATGCTTGAGCTTTGTTATAACTGATTGTGAGGATGCAGCACCCCGGTATTCATGTCTCATGTCCCAAAACGCTCGTGGACTTTACTCACAGTGTTTGAGGCATCAGCTGCTTTCTTTGGAGCATTTATGAGATCACTTTTCTTGTTTGCTGCAGGCTTGTTGTCCAGTATGTTCTTCTTGACCACCTTTAGATCCCTGTTCTTGCCTGGAATGTACCCATGCTTCAAGGAGATGAGGAGGGGATCGGCATTCTTCCCCTCAAACCACTCCTCTGCTTCCAGAGCTGCCTCTGGACCGGCTGTATCAGGGTACAGGTCATCCTGGAAGAGGTCCGACTGCAAGCCAGAAGAGATGAATTGGTCAAGTGCTTTGGGGCTGGAAGGCACGAGCTGGCTTCAAAGACATAAGCGGGAGGCAGTGCTCACCTTTCGAGGAACCGTCATGATGATGGGCTCACATTTCCTCTCGTGAAGCTTGAAGAACCTTTCACATCGGAAGAGAAGGCGTGACTTAGACGTGAGGACAGCCAGTGCTGTGCAAAGGTGGCCTCGGTTGGGCCGCTCACGTGCAACAGTGTAAAGGGAGACAGAGGAGATCAGAAACGAGCAACCCTAAGGAGTCACAGTGCTAGGACCTGCAGGGTCCTGCAAGGGTTGGAGAAAACCACCCATGACTGGTACCAGTGACTTCAGAGAGTCACACTCTGGCCAGGAGGGATGTCACACCAGTGATTTACAGGTATGCACTAGTCAGCTCACTGCTTGCAGCCCTGCTTTGGGCCAGTGCCACAAACTCCAACATCCTCAGCCTGCCCACCAGGCACTGCTGCTGCAACATTCACCTCTTTCAGACAAGCCCAGACTCTGCTCCCTTCTCAAGGCTTCCTGCTCGCATTAATAACCAAAGGAGCATCCAAAGGCCCCAGGGGCAACATCCAGTATGCTCCCTGGCTTGCACTATCTGGATGCAGAAGCAGGAATTCTGGTTTCTGAACCGCTGAACTTGTGATGGAGTGGCTTGCTAAGACATCACCCCTCATCCCGACAGGCTCTCTCCTTACCTGGCAATCTCACACTTGTTCACATCAAGGCCCCTCTTTGGCATGAACCCCATGCCCCTCTGCGGCTCTTTGCTGCTGAAGGTGTTGAGGTAGTGAACATAGGGGGATTCATCCGTGATCTCAAAGTAGCGAATGCTGCTGTCACCCTGCAAGGAACACAAGAGGGATCGCTGCAGAGGGGCCAGGGCTCCCCAGGCCCACAGCCCACTCCCTGCCAGGCCAGGCAGCCATCACTGTCATCCGACAGCCTTTCCTTCCAGGAACACTAACACAGACCAAGGCACAGTTTACAGCTCTATTTATCCAGGCTACAACTTCCACTGCTTACCAGTAGAACATCACAGAATCCCAGGCTATGGGATTCTGCCACGGGCAGGGACCCCTTCCACTGGAGCAGCTTGCTCCAAGCCCCTGTGTCCTTGAGCACTGCCAGGGATGGGGCAGCCACAGCTTCTCTGGGCACCCTGTGCCAGCGCCTCAGCACCCTCCCAGGGAAGAGCTTCTGCCTAAGAGCTCATCTCAGTCTCCCCTCTGGCAGGTTCAAGCCATTCCCCTTGGCCTGTCCCTGCAGGCCTTTATCCAAAGCCCCTCTCCAGGTTTCTTGTAGCCCCTTTTATGCAGTGCAAAACCACTGTAAGGTCTCCCCTGAGCCTTTTATTCCCCAGGCTGAACAAGCCCAAACTATGTCTCCTCTCAGGCTACTCAGAGCAATTCCTATCAGACCATGCACTGCTGTGTTCTGCCATCCATGGGCATCAGAACTACCATAAAGGCGAGTCCACACCAACAAGAGGTGTTTTGCTGACAGTATCCAACTTGTTGCATTAAGAGCAGCTTTACCTGAGTAAATCCATGTCAAAGAAACATCCAGTTACCGACCAGCCCTTCACAGGCTCTCTGATGGCTCTGCACAGTGAGGATCCCACTGATTTCAGAGCAGCCCCATACATCTGCAGCCCTGACCATTACTGCAGTACCCATTTTTTGGTTCTAGCTTGGGGAACATCTCACAGGCATCAACCATTAACAGGAGTTTCCCTCTAAAGACACCAAGTGATGCCAAAAGCTTCTTTTTACCTTGCCACACAAGTAAATGATGTTGGTATCTGGATCGTAGAACGGCAGCAGGACCCCATTGCTGGTGTCCATCTCATGAAGAGCTATTGGCTCCTCCATGTTTTTCTGCAAACAAAAAATGCCAGATGTTAATGAAGAACGAAAAGCTGATGTTAACACAGGACCATGGAATCACAGCACCACAGAATGGCAACAGTGCTCTGTAGCTTGTGAACACGCAGCGGTGTCTCCTCCATGCCGAAGGATGCGCGTGTTCCACGTGCTCTAAGAGCCCATAAAATCCCAAAGGACGTTTTAATCACAAAATGCAATAAAAACAGGCCCCGAGGAAATTCACAAAGCGAAGGACAAGGCGTGACATAGCCATCGTGCCAGACAGGATTGCTGCTGCCCTGCTCTGCACATGTAACACACAGAACGAAGCAACCTTCACGCAGCTGCTCTGCTCTCACACCCCCTCAGGCACCTCAAACACGCAGCTCTTGGTGAGACAGCAACTGGTACATGAGAACTCGTTTCCTTTACAGAGTGCACATCCAGCCTAATACCTTCTGGCACAGGAAGAAGGAGCAGGCAACGGAAGGAAGAGGGAATATGCTCAAGTATATGAGCTGTGAATTTAGTGAGTGACTGCAGGCCTGGGCTAGTAACTCAACAGACATTACAACAGCAAAGGGTAACGGGACAGGAACCTACTGGATTCCAAAGGGCAAGCTGCCGTTCGCTCATGCGGCTGAAGCCAGTTGTGAAGATGTTTCCATCAGCAAGGAAAATGGCTCGCATGGGCCGGGCTCCCTCATGGGTTTTCTCCTTCTCCTGGAAGAGATTGACAGGTTATGAACATTAAGTTCATTTACAGCAACGAACAGAAAAGCCCATCCAGTGGTGGCTTCCCTCCGAGGTGCATGGATTCACTGGCAGGACACACTGCTCCTCCACGCAGGATGCCAGCTACATGGAGCAACATCCAACTATCTTTGCCTGATGCTGGAGAGAAGAAACCAATTACTAAGCTACTCAAGAAGTGGTCATTCCTGGCTCGTTTCAGCTTTGCCTATCAGATTCCTGCAAGGTGGAAGGCAGACTTCTTCGCAAGCTACAACACATACGCAGGCTGATAAAGCACTGCTTTGCGTATGTAGCTTTGGAACTGTAATTATACAAAAGGATTAGAAGTGGAATTACACTCCTGCAGGTTTTAAAACTGAGCCCTAAAATCCTTGTTCAAGCACTAATCCCAGTAAACCCAGACAAATCCTTTGACCATTGCTAGCCCTTCCGTAGTTTCGTCCTCACTTTGACTACACACAGTGTATAGATACCAAGCAAGAAGGTTCTTTCTCTATATGCTCTGACTAACTCTCTGCTGGAGTGAAACCCAGCTGCACCCTACCAATTCCCATGCAAACTTACAGCAACAATTTCTTGTTTCCTGGGGTCAATAACTCGAACTTTTTTGTCTTTGGAAGCTGTACAGATGAGGCTGCCGTTGCGATTCCAGCTCACATTGTAAATCATATCCACATGCATGTCATCCAAGTTTATGAGGGCTTCACCTGTTCCCACATTCCAGATGATGATTGCATTATCACAACCTAAAATAGAAAGCAACAGCTAAAGTCACAATACTGGTGTATACAGATAAAAAAGCCAGCAGCAGGGAGCAAGGAATAAACCTGCTGCAGCTCCAAGCCTCAGATGCTCTCTTAAACACACTCCATCCACTTTCATGTGCATCGAACTCCAGGCAGCACATTCTCACTCAAATACAGGCTCAGGGCAGGGACCAAGAAGCCAGAGCAGGCACCAAACTCCTCCCCTGAAAGTGTCAATCACCTTCTCAGACAAAGGCAGTTTATGCAGGAGTGTCTGGGCACTGCTCCCACAGATGGCCACCACCTCAACCAGTGTGCTGCCTGCATGCATGGGGCAGGCAGGAGAGGTCCTTGGCAGAGAAGAAGCTGAAGGGGATAGCAGGAGATGCTGGTGGAGCTGAGGGAGGTCTGCTAAAGCCTGCCCTGGCCACTGCTACTGCAGGAGCTGTGTGCAAGAGCTCTTAGGTCTTGGCTCAACTGCAGGAGGACAGAGCAAGAGATGCCCAGAGCAAAGAGGCAATGTTCTTACAGCTCTATAGGTGAGCATACTGGCTGGCAGCCAGTCACTGCCTTCTCAGGACAGAGAGATTTGTGGTAGAAAGAGTCACAGTGGCACAGATGTAAAACAGGCAAGCGACAGCAGGAGAAAGAGCAGAACAAAGAGGAAAACCAATGTCAGGCAGCAAAGCCAAGGTCAGCAGCTTCACAAGGACTGCAACCATCAGGAAGGTGGTTTTCCTCAAGAAGATGAAGAATAAAGCCTAAGACTGAGATGACAGCAAAATAAAGAGCAGGTCTGGAGGACCAGGGAAGGGAAGGGAAGGGAAGCTCAATGTGTGGACTGAGCTATTCCTCCTAATGCTCCAGAGGGGTGAAAACATATAACAGGGCAAAAGGGAACAATCCCCCCTGAACTCCCAAAGGGCATGAAAGACATCCAGAACCTGTCTGTTGTCACCAAGAGAACCCTGGAGACCGCAAAGACCAGACAGCCTCCCTTCTCTGTTCCTCGGAAGCAAACCTGCACACACATACCTTGCTGCCTGTGAGTCTGAGCAAGCTACTTAAGAAAAATCACCTCCTTTTGTGTGTTCTCACACTGAATTTCACTGCATTAACTGCTACAAGGTCTGCAACTCCAAGCATTTCTGGGGAAAGCAGATCAAAACCAAACTGGTGCCTCAAAAAGCATTTCTATCAACAGGAGTCACACAGCTCATCTGACAGCCCAGCTGAAAGGACTGGCTTCCTTTATGGGGTGCCAACCTAAAGGTCACACTGTGAAAGCCTCGGATCATGCTAATGGTTAATGACTTCTCCATTTCATTTCCATAATGATGTGACTGTTTCTCTGTGGTCCTTGCACAGCACATATCCCTCAAGGAGACAATTTGGGAAATGCTGCAAATGAAAGCTCGTGGAAGGAATTCTGGGATACCTTGCAGGGATCAGTGGGAAAGGAGGAAGAGTTGGGCCTTTTAGAGAAGCACGTGAGAACAGGGGTGAGGAGGGTGCAGATGTGAACACTTCTCAGTGGATGAAACTTGCAGATCAAGTGAAGTCTGGAACAATTTTAATACCGTAATTCATGCCTCCAGACAATTTCCTGGCTCTTATCCCTGAGAACTGAAGATAATATAACTGAAGCCAAGATAAGGAGGGGGCTGCGAGCCACGTGTCCCAGTGTCTTGTGATTCACCATCCCCAAGCAACTTGGAGAGAAGGAAAAGGAGTCATGAAGCTCTTCCTCAAAATACCCAGTCTGCAAGAAAACCGTAAGGGAAGGGAGGAGGAGGAGGGAGGAGGAGGAGGGAGGAGAAGGAGGGAGGAGAAGGAGGGAGGAGAAGGAGGGAGGAGAAGGAGGGAGGAGAAGGAGGGAGGAGAAGGAGGGAGGAGAAGGAGGGAGGAGAAGGAGGGAGGAGAAGGAGGGAGGAGAAGGAGGGAGGAGAAGGAGGGAGGAGAAGGAGGGAGGAGAAGGAGGGAGGAGAAGCTTGTGGACCCCATCAGACACCGTACCTGCGCTGAGCAGCACGTTGCGTGCCGTCGGGTGCCAAGCCACAATGCCAACTCGCTTGGAATGACCTTCTAACACCACCACTGGCTCTGTCAGGGACAGGGTGAGCCCATTCTCGGGAATCTGCCACACCTGGAAAGGAAAGGAAAGGAAAACTGGTTAGTCGAGGGCCAACCCCTCTGAAGAGTGCTGTACTCATTTGCTTCCTGTGCCCTGCACCAGGAGTCCGAGCTGTCACTTCTCCCTATTAACAGGAAGGGACAATTGAGGAGGGAATTGTTCCCAGCCACCAATGAAGCTTCAGCTCATCTGTGTGCAACATCCTTCTTATTGCCAGCACATAAACACTGGCTACTTACCTGCAAACACCCCTTATCCCTGTGTCCAGAGATGCATCCATCTCAGATGCCACCCGACAGGGATTCAAACTAATCTGCCTTGCAGCAGCTCAAACTCCATCTGAACAAGCTGCTGTCTTATCAAATCATGCTTGTCCCTCGGGGGATAATAGTGCAGCTACACTGGTGCCTTCTTATTTATTAGTTTCCTCCTGTCTAGAGCCTCCTTTCAGATGCCACTTAACTGGGGAAGAGCACTTTGGTTCTGGCAAAGGTTAAAGCAGCCCACGTTAGCATTGGAAAAACTACCTTTGACTGTAGCGAAGTGCCTGTTGGCTTCCTGCCTCCTTGCTTACACAACCCTTGTGTTGCAAACCTCTCCAGGAAAGTGCCATCAGGAGGAGGAACAGACCCCCAAGGATTGCAGGCCACTGGCATTCCAGCTGTGGAGTCAGAGCAGGTTCATGCACTGAGGGAGGCGGCTTCTGCAACTGGCCAGCAACAGGGATGGGAGAGATAAAATCCATCACCCCTTGCCCCAGGGCAGGATCAGCCCGACCAGAACTATTCCTGCAATTCAGCCCTGGACAATCATCTTTGAACTGAATTTGACCTGCATGTAGTGCATTAAAGAACTGAACAGGAAACCCACCAGTGAGCAGTTATAGCTACCTATAGGTAGGTGGCAGCATCAGAGCACATTTGCTTCGCCTTCCATTGTTTGCTTTATCTGCAGATAGGGAACAGGGCTGCCAGACCCTGCCCACGATGCCCAGCCAAGCTGTCAGAGCCGGCAGATGTGAGCAGAGTGGATTTCGGAAGCGAGGCAGACAGCCATGCACGGGGGTGACATGGATTGCTGTGCTAATCCCCGTTCCTCCCTCCTCACAGGAGCGGCTGCTGCCTAAATAAAACCCACCGGGATGCAGTAATTCCCAGCACGTACCAGCTCCCCTCTAAATAACCCTAAAACGATTCCATTTCTCAGCAGTGCAGCTCTCAGCACCCTCAGGAGGAATGACAGCGACAGACACACAATTCCTCTGCAAGGGTACAATTCCCTCTTTCTCTTCCTCCCTGATGAACAGTGCTAGCAAAAAGATGACACAAACCAAGGCTTTTACCCAGCAATCAGGCTTTAACAACTGGGTTGCAGACTGGAGCTGTTCAGCCTGGAGAAGCAGGATGTCATCCTGCTCGCTTGGAATTCAACACCAGCCTTCCCAGTGACTGCAGGCACAGCAGGCTGAGGACTGGGCTGAAACACAACCTGCCTTGGGAGCTGCAACAAATCATTTCACCTGCCTGTTCCACGACAAAACTGGGCTGCAAAGCTGTCAGTTCTTACAGAGGCAGCTTTCTTCTTGCCAGTCAGGAAATAACAACCTGACAGCAGCAACAGTTTAAACCGTGTCTGCTGACAGAACTTTAATGTCAGTCTGCTAAAACTGGTACCCACACTTGATGCTGTAACTGTATGCAGATCTCTCGGATAAACCACCTCCAAACCTCCGTACTGTCAGCACTGATGCAATGCTGCAGAACACAGAGGCTGGTTCGGGTTGAAGGGACCTTAGAGCTCATCCAGCTCCAACCCCTGCCATGGGCAGGGAGCCCTTCCACTGGAGCACCTTGCTCCAAGCCCCTGTGTCCAACCTGGCCTTGAGCACTGCCAGGGATGGGGCAGCCACAGCTTCTTTGGGCACCCTGTGCCAGCGCCTCAGCACCCTCACAGGGCAGAGCTTCTGCCTAAGAGCTCATCTCAGTCTCCCCTCTGGCAGGTTAAAGCCGTTCCCCTTGGCCTGTCTCTACAGGCCTTTTTCCAAAGCCCATCTCCAGGAATTACCTAAACCAAGCTGGAAGGAGAACTTGAGAGCTGGGAGATGCCAGCAGAGAAGGCAAAGCAGGAGAGGCCGGGCTCCGATCTGAGGTACTGGAGATGCCCAGCAGAGTATTAGGTGACAAGAGAGCAGGGCTAGAAGATGTTCCATATGAGCAGCTCTGGTGTGATCCCTCTACCAGGCAGGCAGATGTTGGGGCAGAGCTGACATGGGGATAGGATACAGAAAAACCACCAAACCCACTTCTTCATTAGGTGAAAAGGCCACAACAGCCGAGACTGAGCCACACAGGCTGATGTTACACTGAGGATTAAGCAGGGAGCCAGACATCTGGTTACTCCAGGGTCTTGAGGAGCCCTTAAAAACAGCAAGCCTTGATGAACACAGCTTTCTCTTCCCCCGAGAGAAATGGTGTGATCAAGTGGCCTGCCCCAACTCGGCCCTGCTCCCTTTGTTGGGGGGAGAAGCTTTGAAAACTGAATTTACTCACAAAAAGACCCAGGAGCAGCACTCTTGGGCCACACGTGACCTGCACCCAAGTCACACAGGGTCAGAGCAGCTTCTACACCTGCAGCTGCAGTCAACCTTCCTCCCAGCCAAGGGGCAGCCCGAGCAAAGGGACCAGAGATCCCCATTTCTGTTCTGCGCTGCCACAGCTGGGAATGATGCTGGGATCCTTCTGTGCAAGTGCAGCTTCACAGCAAAGCAACTTGTGTGCCAGAAAACTCCAGGGCCAAGTTTAACGGTGAGCCAGCGAGTGCAGGGGTTGGATAGGAGGCAAATTACCAAAGGAAAGGATGTTTTAAGAGCCCCTGGAGGACACAGATATTTTTCTTTAAGGGAAAGCTCCTGTAGTTCCCAGCAGCTGCAGAGCCGTGTAATCCTCTGCAGATTACACCGACTATTGACCTAATAATCCTGCCTGGTATTGCAAAAAAAACCCCAAAAGCCAGGAGTGTGAAAGGTCAGGGAAGGCTCCCAAACGGCCTGGCCCACTCATTCCTGCATAAGGTGGGGGCCTGGCTTCAGCGTGGGATGAAACTGGGTTCAGAGGGCAAACTGAGGAGCGTTCCCTCTGGATGCAGAACCTGGCCTGTGAAGGTGAGAACACAGGATGAATACCCAAAGCCCGCAAGATGAATGGGACATCAGCAGCAGTTGGCTTTTGGGGGTTTGTTGTTTTGTTAACGTGGTTGGGTCTGTTTGTGATGGAGGAAGTGAAGTCACGCCACAGTGCTGTGCAGAGGCTGGGGCTCAGAGGAAGAGCAGCAGGGAAAGGTCTTGCACAAACAGCATGTGAGGGAGAAAACACAGCCAACTTTCACTGCACTATTTTGTAGCCTTTAAAGAGACCCCAAACCTGTCCCTTCTGGCTCTGCACCGGCCGGCAGAGCAGACTAAGTCAGTCTCCAGAAACAACATCAATCCTACATTCACGTTATCTAAGGAAACAAAGGAGGGTTTATCTATATCCCTGGCTCTTGTATCACTGCAGGATTTGTGCAGCCACTTTCTGTTGCTTAAGACCTTCGAGCTGGTCCTGGTACCACATCAGAACTGTCTGCTGCCAGGTCAGCGTCCCAGGGTAAGGACAAGAGCAAGGGCTCTGGGTTAAGCTTTAAAACAACTTGCTCAACCAAATGAGCTCTCCTCTGGCCAATACATGCAAACTCTGAGCATCCACCTTGTGATGAAGCCAATTTTCCATATCTGGGAACGGCCCTTCTGATACTATCGAGAAGCATTTATGGAATCAGACATTTTCCAGCTGAATTAAGAAACCTGCAGTACATTACAGGCATTCAGCAGAATATCAAGCATGACTATTTAAGTAATTCCTTATTTGCTGGCACAAGAAAACAAGTCTTCAAAGAGAACACCAGAAGAGGCCGCAGAAGGTATCTGCATGCCACAGAGTCTTAAAGGAAGCCTGTCTGAGAGCAATTCGGACAGGGGAGATGGGGACTCTCCATCCTGCCCTTATGCAGATGAGAGAAATTCAGCAAGAAGCCAGTGAAGGGGACAGAGGCGGCTGCTGTTCCCAACATCACATCACTTGTCTGATGAGGGCTCTTGTGTTACAGGGGACATGAAATGGGCCATGTTCTGGTCTGAGAACAAGGCATGAAGAGGAAATACCCGAACGCTTGGAGACTAAAAGGATTTCATTATCTCTCAAACCACTTCAGGTGGGTTGTATTTGCCAACTCAAAAAGGAATCTGTTGGCTTCATATTCCAATTGGCAAGGGCAGGAGAGGAGAGGCCAAAGTGTGTCCCGAGGAACACCCAGGATAAAGGAAGAGCATTTGCCCCTCCACGAGCCTACACTCCAGCAGAGAAAGCAGGTGGTGTTCTGAAGAGCTCCATTCTACTTGCTCCTCTGCTGGGATCTGACAGTGATGTTCTTACACCCACCAGCACCATGACTTCCACACAGGTGGTCCTGCAAGGGTGGGCTGTCCTAAGCACTGACCCCACCATCTTTTTCTTCTCTGCCTCCAAATGATTTATGAATGCATCAGATGGGACAGCGGAAGTACCACCTGAAACCATCAGATCACACTGATCAAGAGCCTTTCATTAGATTCATTTTGATGCAGCTGCAAACAGTTAAACCTCTGAAGCTGTCCAAGCTACAAAGCTAAGCAGCATCAAAAAAGATGTCTTGATGTCTTCTTTCCTAGGCCTTTACTCCAACCCCCAGTCTCATGATCTCACATACCTGTTCAAGGTTTATCTGCAGCTCAGAGGGTATTTCCACCTTCCACAAACCTGAGGTTTTATCAACATGAAAATGCTTCCAGCTGTTGAAAGGGCCAGGTTAAGCTTCCTTGTGCAACACATAGCTCAAACTTATGGCTGCAGGGAATCAGCCCTCTTGACCTCAGAGACACTGGTCAGATAGCATCTCAAGGCCAACCTCTCCCTCAGTACATGTCTAGCTGATGCTGCTGAGATCTGCTGTGGCAGAGGGTAAGATCCTAAATCCTCAAGTAACCAAGGCACAGATGGTCTTTAAAAACATAAGGCTTTTTCTGTCTTTAGAGCAGCTGCCACCTCTGCAGAAAGCCCCACGATCTCCTCTACCACACTGCGTTTTCTCATTTCACATTGGCTGATGAAGAGTTCAGAGCTGATGAACAACCACATATCCTTTAGAGTAAGATCAGTTTATTCACAGTGACAGGCTGTCCAGGAAGCAGGACTCCAAAACCTTTATTGAAGACTAGCAAAGAAAACAGGATGCTGAATTACCCGTGCCAGGACAGAAAAGCAATTAAGAATGGGAAGGCTCATTAGCTCATCCAGTTTTGCTTCCAAATAGTCCGGGCCAGGCTTGGTCTTTGCACACTCTAGCTGTGTACAGCCCAGTTAACAACTGTCCCAAATGATTTGGGATACATCATTTCCCATCAGAAGTTGTGCAATACTTAAGAGGAGATTCAGCTTCAGTCTTCGGACCTCTCTGCTTCCATCACCACTGCTGGCACTCAGCTTCACTGCATTTTAAACCTCCAGCTAACACGCACCTAAGATCTTCCAAATCCTTCCAAATGAGTGAGGATTCACTCGTTTCACCTTCCCAGCAGCTGCTTGCTCCCTTCCACTCATGACAGTAGCACCACCAGGTACCACACGCTAATGCCAGTGTGCAGACTTGCAGTCTTGCAGTCAGCTACACCATGGGGTCTGCCCACATGCCTGTTGCCTCCAGTGATGGAGGGAAGCTCACCCCCTGCCTCAGTGTGTGCAGATAGAGCAGACAACCTGCCGTGACCCCACGGAGCTTGTCTGAGCAGTTTGGGCTCCGATTCTTGCAGACACTTTGCGTCTACGTTAGGAGCATTTTGTAACTCAACACTGTTGGGTTTTCTACACAATTCAATCCCTCTGGAGCCTCACAACATACTTCTCATTGCACTTGGATTAGAGACTTATTTTGCCTCCGAGGCAGCAGCTATGGACCCCAGCTTTGCCTGAGCTCCTGTTTCAGAAACCGTTCCTTCTGGATCCCGGTTTCTGGAGGAACATTCCTGCCTCCTGCATCCAGCCCAGTAGTGACCATGACAATCACAGAAGCTTGTTGTTTTGTTTAATATTAAATATAGTACATTTTGTTAACATGTTTCAGCTTCCAAGACTAAGAGATCACAGGCAAGAGCTGTCCCAGGATAAGCCTCTTGGGATGAATCCCCTCCCAGACATTCTAACGACGAACAGAAGCAAAGGAATTTATCTGACATGATCTATAATAAGATTCCAATATAACGTTCAGCCTACAGCATTTCTAAATATGGCCAAAGATCACTGAAGTTATTTGGCATTATTTCATCTCACAAGGATTTTCTTTCACTTGTTCTGCTGTGTTTGCATGCACAGGATTCCACATCCATCCTGGAGCGAGGCCGTCTATTTTCCAGTGGGCTCTGAGGTACAAACAGGTCTCAGGCCCAAGGTTGGCAGGTGCAGGAGTTTCATTTCTTATTTATTAGAAAAGCTCTTTTCATATCTACTTACAACCTACAGATACAGGAAAAACTACAGCATCACCCTTAAATCAAGGGCTTGATGCGGTTCTGAAACCCAATGGCCTCTTCCCAACACACAGCACTGCATCCATTAGGATATTTGAGGTAAGGAACCACCTCTGTATTCTGCAAAGCACTACAGAGCAAGACACCTCACCAGTGATGGGCATTCCTTCTTCTCCTTCTTATTGCCAAACATCAGACAAATCCCCAAGGGAAGGAAAATGGAAGAGCAATTGAAGATAAAGCCAGAAAGATACAGGGCAATTCTGTTACACAAATAGCTATCTCAGTGCTAAAGAGATTCACCTCCCAAGTCTGAGGCTGCACCTTCTCAAGCAGTAAGTGAGAAGAAAACGTCACTTGTGAGTCCAAACTCTGCTGTTACACAGGTAATAAAGCTCACTCTGCTTTTTTACTCCACCTTTAGCTACGTCCTGCAGCCAAGACAGCATCATTTCTTAAGCCCAGATAACACAAGCACAATGCCCATGACCACTCTCACCTCAGCAAGGACTCTGCCTTCAGCAGCAGAACAGGAGATGTCTTCAGAAACACAAGTGTCCTTTGCAGCAGCAGTTTGAGCACAAAGCAAACCCCACAAGACCAATTCAATACTCTTACCATGACAGTGCAGTCCTCGGAGCCGCTGGCGATGACCTGGTCATTATGAGGACACCAGTCGATGTCCAGCACCGGTCCTGTGTGGCCACACACTGTGGGGTAGGACTTGTCAATTCTGCCTGTCTGGAGGGGAGGAAACAAGGAAGAGAGCTGTAAGACACAGACAGCATAAACCACATTCCAGAGTGGAGGGAGATGCATCCTAATCGTCCATTAATTCTTTCAGTGTTCAGAACTTAATGAAGCTTTAATCCTCTCATGGATCGACAGAGGAAACAAACCATCAATGCTCTTCTGCAGCACCAACCAGCTGGAGACTCCTGATGGTGCAAGAAAAGGGTTCAGGGGTTCAGCACAGGAGGGCTTTGCTGCCCACATCTCAGCATTTGCACTGACACCATCCCTTTGTCCAACTCCAGTGTTCTGGGAAGTTTTGAGGACACAGGTTTGCAGAGTAAAACCACTGCTCACAGACTGCCACAGCCCCTCAGCCCTCATCCCTGCCTGCCCCGCTATGGCCAGAGGACCAAGGCGACCAGCACGCTGCCTGCACCGAGCTCATTACACACATGAGCTTTGCAAGAGCACAAGCCAGTGAGGTGTTCCCATCTGAGCTGAGACAGGTCTAGTGATGCCAACGCTGCTACTGCAAAGACACCAACTCTACCAACTGGGTCTATGTTTTACTGTTGGAACCCCTTGATATCCTGAAGCATGTGTCCGTCCCCCCCCCCACTGCTGATGCACCTAATACCCCAGCTTCCTCTGGGAATAACAATCACTCCAGCTAATCACTGCCATTTCTCTTGGTCAAGCTGTGTGCACATGAGAAGCAGCTCCAGAACCTGGGTCCTGTTCCAGGGGGTTTTGTTTCCAGGGAACGCTGTGATGGCCTTTTCATGAGAGATGGGAGAAGAGAGACAGGAGGGAGAGGTCTGAGCTGGGGTCGTCTTCTTTCATGTGTAAACATGCAGAAGAAATGGCTGGCATTTCACTTGTGCCATTCCTTGTCAACATTCCCCAACCTTGGAGGTGACATCTCTTAATGTATGCCTCCTCCCCATCTCCACGAGGAAGGCTGTTCCTATTCAACACTGTCTCACGTACAAAGGACCAGAATAATGCTGGCTACTGGCTGTTGAAGACCACTGACCTGAAGACCTCTACCAGCAACAAAACAAAATACAGAGCCAAAGTTACAGCAACCAACCAACCACCATTTCCTAAATGGCCCAATTTGGGTTTCAAGGCAAGATTGCCTCAGTGATTTAATGCTTTTGGAATCATTCGAAGGGAGAGTGGTGCAGATGAAAAGCCATGAACCAGACAGGCCAAAATTAAAGCCTGTGTAATCCCTCCTGGATGCCGTAACGTGAAATAGGATTTGAAAAATTAATACACCCAACTGCCATGTACAGCCCTTCCATCTTCAGTGATGGAATGAAGAGAGAACCATGCAGAGCATATGCTATTGCTGCATTTCAGCAATCACATTACAGGCCAAACACAAATACAGACTTAAACCAAGAGTAAAAACACAACTAATACTGGAAGATGCCAGTGACTACCTGCTCCTGGTCTCTAGCAGGGCTCAGTAATCCTCTATGAGGAGCCTACGGTAATTATTTACAGGCAGCATGAGTGCTTGTCAGTTTAGTTTAGAGTTTTTACAGGAGCTTATTACTGCAGGGAGGAAAGGAAAGGAAAGAAAGCCTATCAATTTGAGCAAATTAAAGCCCAAACTTCACCTTTCAGTTTTGATCAGGATGAACCTGAGCAGCAGCAGCAGCCAACCGGCTGAGACAGGCAGCTGACCGCAGGGACCAGGCAACCCACCGCCTGCTTTTGATCACCCACCCACAGCTCAGTTTTCCAGCAGCTATCTTGTACTTCCATTAGCTCACTGAACTGCAGTGCTCCCAGGGCAGCGAGGATGCAGGCTCCGTGTGAGCCCACGGCAAGAGGGAGCTCCTGATGCTTGAAAGCAGAAGGTCACGCTGCCTGCAAACACAACACCTCTTCAGGGTCTGGCTGAGGAAGACAACACAAGGGGATGCGTGCAGCACAGCAGCATAGAATCCCAGCTTGGTTTGTGTTGAAGGGACCTTAAAGCTCCTCCAGCTCCAACCCCTGCCACGGGCAGGGACCCCTTCCACTGGAGCAGCTTGCTCCAAGCCCCTGTGTCCAACCTGGCCTTGAGCACTGCCAGGGATGGGGCAGCCACAGCTTCTCTGGGCACCCTGTGCCAGCGCCTCAGCACCCTCACAGGGAAGAGCTTCTGCCTAAGAGCTCAGCTCAGTCTCCCCTCTGGCAGGTTCAAGCCATTCCCCTTGGCCTGTCCCTGCAGGCCCTTTCCCAAAGCCCCCCTCCAGGTTTCTTGTAGCCCCTTTAGGTACTGGATCAACCCCTACACTTGGGCATGGCACTACGGCACCAAGGGACCAACTCGGCTGCTCTCCAGGGTGCACAAGTAACAGTGCTGGACCAGTACAATGAGAATAAATGAAGGATGTGGATGACAGAAGGGCCCAAACGCTGCTGCGCTGCTGGAAGCTGCAGCTTGGCAGGAGTCTAACCGCTTTCAGAGAACTACTGACTTGTGGTCAGAGACAAAACTGTTTTCGCAGGGGAGAGGAAACCACCATGCTTTCCTGAAGACATAACAAAGAGCAAGAGCTCTCCTCAGCAACGCTTGTAAACGTGCTTCAGCTGCTCCACTTGAACAAACCAAACCCAAAATCGCTTCCATTAGAAAGCATGACCCTTGCACGGGGCCCACGGCTGGCAAAGCACAACAACCCACAGCACAATCCCCCGGGGCCTGGCCCCGCATACACCTTCCCCCCAGCCACCCAGTGGGTGAGAAAGGAGCAGGTTTTAACTCACAAGTGTTAAATCACCACCTCCCTAAGTGAGCTCTGCACATACCATCAATGCAGGCTTCCTGCTCCCCTCTCCGGAGCAGGGATCCCTATTCCTGGCACTGTGTGGGATGAAGCTGTTCACAGAGGAGCTTTAAAAACGGTATCTGGGGGGCTTTGCCAAAAGGGAAAGACCAGGAAGCCTTTAATTGGGTATTATAAAAACATGGCAGCCCATAAAGTTACCAAATGCCACGTTTTGAAACGCAATTCCATTCAAAAGAGACACCTTTGCCACAAAACCACCACCAGATTCGCATCGTGGCTGCCAAAGAGGTGTTGTTTTCACCCTACCTTAACAGCCCCAGGTTTGGGGCTTTATTTATTTATTTTTACAGTGTAATCTTTTAATGAGTTCAGGATTTACAATAAATCTCAAGTGCTGATACACAGCTTAAAATTAACTCGGTCCGACTCGAAGAAATTAAATCCTGCTCGTAATCCATTGCGACGGCGGTTGGGCAACACATCACCCAACAGCTCCTGAAACTCAGAGGTGGATGCTGTAAGAACTTAGCCAAAAAGGTGACTATGAGGATTAGCAGGAGTATGTTGTGTCTAGAAGCACACAACACTGAGGTCCTTCAGCAGATAATAAGCCGAGTGAATCCATTTAGCACCTTCCTGCATCCCAGATCAGAAGAAAATTACAGATGAGAAGGAAATAATCTGTTATTAAATACAAAAGGGCACTGGAAAACTGCTCCTAAAAGAGGTGGTTTTAATCTATCTTAAGGAAGGCTTCTCTGCCACAAAAGGGCAACTGGTTGCAGGAAACAGCTCATGGATTATAGTAAAAATATCCCAGAGCACAGCTGCTTCCCCAACCCCTGGCTGTGCTCATGAAGATCTCCATTTAAAATAGGGAAGTGGCATCGAGTTGCACAAGCAAAAGCAATTCCCTCACCCCCCCCTTCCCCTGACAGTGCAGGAGTTTGAGGAAGGAAATCAGGGCACAACTGCAAGTCTGAAATACAAAGTGGCCGCTGCCTTGTCTCTGTTGGAGAAAATACCCCTTTAACTTAGCTAAATTGTGTCTCTACAACAAACTCCTATTTCACCAAGTCCAGTCGAGTGGAGTTTAACGTGCTCTGGCCACTGAGCCTGCCTCCACCTCTGGCTGTAGCAGCTGCTCATGCAGGAGGCAGTTGGGATGTAATGATTCTCTCCTGACCATGGCAAAGAGACGTCAGTCACCAGCAAACCAATCAAAGCATCCAAAACTAATTGGGAAGATTAGGAAAAGTGCTGCTCCCAAAAGGTCTACTGTAATGTCATGTAACGAGAGACTCTGAGGCATTCCTAACTACACGCCTCTTCCAAATCAGACTGTGTCCTCCAAGAATTCCTCGGCAGTGCTCGTGTTCTGGTTTTAGCACCTTGACAGCTGCAGGGCTGTGACATTACAGGCTGCAGATGGAAACAAAGGTCCTTGTTCTGGAGTGCTCAGACCTAACTGGATGCACAAAGCTGGGGGCGAAGCACAACGTGGTGCCAGGAATCCTACACAAAGCCAACCCTGCCCGAGCAGGGAGCTATAAAAACCATGGCACTGTGTGGCTCCAGCAGATCGAGCATCACAAAGAACAGGGTGGAGGGTTCCAGGCATGGGGGCAGCCCTGTGGAGCAGGCAGAGATAGTGAAGTTCATCTTGCCCTGGTGGGAGAGGAGCTGCAGCAGCTGAATGGAGAAGAGAGGAGGCAGGAGCTGTTTTCAACTGCAGGATGCTTCATACTGGAGAAGGGTATGTTTGCTGCAGAATCCTTCACGGGGTTCGTCGTGGCAATCAGCTACTCACATGCTGGCTTTAAAACAGGAAAAAGAACACAACCAACCCTCCAAAGCCACCCAAGCTGCTAACTCCCATCACTCAGAGCTGGGGACACAGCATGGCTCCAGCAGTTCAGCTCCCGCCTGTCCTAGTGTCTAGAGGGAAGCTCTAAACTGCTTCAGAATTACATTTCAGCCTCAGGTACCTTCGAGCTGAGGAAGCCCTCTGGGCAGAAGATGCAGATTCAAACCAGAGACCTGTTGCCCAGAAATTACATTACAACTGATACAGAGTACCTCTTTTGTTCCACCCCTAAAATACGACTCCAAAAGCAGTTAATTCCCATTAGTAAACCAGGAGCATCACCTTCCCAATTGAAGAACATCCAAGCAGGGACCTCAGGTTTAGAGCTCTAGGATAAAGTGGTAAAACCCAGCTGCAGCTCAGGGAGTGGTGGAAGAGAAGGACCCGTCCAGAGAAAGCAGAGCTGCTGAGCAGCAGTGCCCAGAAAGGATCCACAGGGAAAACCAGCCTCGTGTCACCTCAACACACCCATCCTCAAGATGGAACAGATGATCCAGGACTCCAGCATCAGCCATGGTGAAACAAACTGGGAGAGAGAAGAAAGCCTGGACAGATCCCAGGAAAGAAGCCACTTCTGTTGAACTCATTTTGTCTCTGGGCTTCCAAGAGTTCAGTTTTAACCTCTGCACACAGACAGGAAGGCAGATGTGGCTCATGCAGTCCTCTCCCCATGCAGCACTCTCTCAAACCTGCTTGCAGACAGAACTATCAAGCACAAGAACCATTTTCACTGTAGGACAAGGCCTTAAAACTGTACAAACCCTTGGCTGACCATAAATCAGGGGAGTTTGTGCTGCTTGCTTTCCTAGAGAAATGAGATTTATCAGCCACCCTGCCTGCCCTCTTCCCAAGCACACCAGATCCACTGGAGGGGGAAAGAGAGGACGTGGAAGGGAATTGGGCACATCAGTGCTGAGTGGATGTAGGAAAAACCTGCAAGAAACTGATGGGCTCCATGGCAGCCGAAGCCAAGATGCCCGTAAGCCGTTTTACTTCATCTCCTTCCATCCACACTCCACCTGAAACTGCTGGAAGGACTCAATGAGCCCATCACAGCAGTTCCTCCTCAGTTTGTTTTATGCACCATCTGGAAAAGGATGGTATTTTCCCACTCCTTCCTGGCAGGATGAGAACGTGGAACAGCTGATTAACAAGTTACATATGCCATGGTTGAACATTAAAGCGTGTCCCTTGCAGAACAACATATTCCTTCGAGAAGGTCATTCCTGAGGTGTGCTCTCACCCACACACATGCTAATTGCCTCTCAGGGCACCCATCTGATCACAGCCTCGGCAGGAAGAAGGCAGGCACACAAATGGAAGAGCTAATAAAAGGTATATCCAAAGGGACTGAATGAGCTCCTCTGAAGGCTTTACATAACATCCCCGCAGCTGAAGGCATCTTTCTACAGGAACTGAAACAAAACCCTTCTGCAGCAGTTTTTCTTTGCAGATACAAACTGCAGAGGTTTTCCGGGGAGACAAAACCCTGCGTTCAGTTCTGCTGTAACACAGACCCAGAATCATGGGCTAAACCCAGGTATTTCAAGTCACTTTCCCCAGCACATCAAGAAATCCACAAAGGACCCATTTGGGCTGCAGAACAGGGATCACACATCGAGTTGGGTGAGTATATGCCCCACAACACCTCTGCTTTGCAGCTGCCCCATCCCTGGCAGTGTTCAAGGCCAGGCTGGAAGGGGCTTGGAGCAACCACGCTCATCCAAGCTCCAACCCCTTCCACTGGAGCAGCTTGCTCCAAGCCCCTGTGGTCTTGAGCACTGCCAGGGATGGGGCAGCCACAGCTTCTCTGGGCACCCTGTGCCAGCGCCTCAGCACCCTCCCAGGGAAGAGCTTCTGCCTAAGAGCTCATCTCAGTCTCCCCTGGGGCAGGTTAAAGCCATTCCCCTCGGCCTGTCCCTACCGGTCCTTGTCCAAATCCCCTCCCCAGCTTCCCTGTACTCCACAATAAGCAAAGGCTTCCCCGTTTGCCCCCGGCGTGCACAGCTCCCGCACACACATGAACCGATACACATCAATCACAGCACGCTTCCCTCCGGCAGCCCCACCAACCTGCGGGCACCGCCATTCCCCGCCGCCCGAGGTGGCACAAAGCCTTCCTTCCCACCGCCACCGAACCCGGCCGGGCCGCACCGGCCCCGGCGCTGCGCGGGGCCTCCCCTCACGGCGGCGGCGACGGGGGCGCCGGCGCGGGCACGCAGGGGTTAACGGGCACGCACTTGCCGCGCCGCGCCTCCGCCCCCGCCAATCAGCGCGCCGGCGGACCGCGGCCCCGAGCGCTGCCATGACCATATAAGGTAAAAAAGCCGCGGCCGCCGCAGTGCCAGGGAGAGCGCGCGCGCGCGAATGCGCGTGACGGGGTTGGGGGGGGCGGAGGCGGGAATGGCGGCTGCGTCCGGTTCACCACAGAGACCCGGAATCCACACAGACAGCCCCAAAACCAACCGGATAGACCCCAAAACAGCCAGACACCCCCAAAATCACCCCCTGAGCCCCCGCCCGTGAGCCGGCGGGCGCAGGGAGCGGCCTGCCAGGCGGCAAAAAGCCACGGCCGCAAATAAAACCCCCCGAAAACCACCGCAGTGGTGGGGCTTGGAAAGGAAAAACCCGTTTGAAGTGGGTAAGAAGTCCCTCGGCTGTGATTGCAGGGCCCTCAGCCACATCTGAAGGGTCTCGGGGTGGCTGGATTTGAGTGGGCACAGCGCAATTGGGTTCTAGAAAGGCTCACTGGCAGCCCAAAGGCCGGGCAATGCAGCAAGTGCAGTTTTATGGCCCTGCTTTAAAATCATCCCCAAAACGGAGGTTTAAAACGGGCCCTTTCGCTCCCGGCTGAGTCCAACAGCAGGTGGGGATTCAATGAATACCTCTGCTGAACCAGGAGTCACTGTTAGGGTGTTGAAGGAACTAAAGGATTTCATCAGCTGAGGCTATAAAAGTCAATGAGGAACACAGGAACTGGTGAGAGCAAAGCACAACGTGTCCGGATGGGGGTTAGGGAGGGAGCTCCTCCAGCTTGGCATGAAACCTGCTCCTATGCAAGCATTAAATAGGTGTACGGGGACGGGAACACTGAGGGCACAATGGCAAATACAGGGGGGGAATAACAAAATCAACATAAAACCACAGCAAACAAAGGTGGTATTTCGAAATGGGAGGAGAAAAAAATGTCCAAATGAGCAGGAATTTCTGCTAGGGACTAATAAAACATCGGGAAGGGAAAAAAAAGAGGGGTGCACATCCTCTGCCACCAGCATCTGATTGCACCGCGGTGCAACTGCTTCTGGTGTTGAGTAAAGCATTAATGGAGATCTATCCCATCTTGGCCCAGAGCAGGACACATGGCCCAAAGGTGAGCCCAGAGCAGAAGACTTGCAAGGAAGGGGATGTTCATGAGCAAAACTGCACTATTTAAGGAGGCTGAAGGGGTTTGGATGGGTTTGCTTAGCACAAGTGAGAACGCGCTGCCTCTGTTCCTGCAGCGTGCTCGCCATGTGGGATGCTATATTCAATTCTGGTCACTATTTCTATATATAAACAGGGCAGATCTGCAGATGGAGCTCTGAAAAAAGGACAGGGCTGATGACATACTGAGGACATCTTAAGTGTATAGTTAAGTCACAAAGAAAATGAGACAGAAAAAGACTTTCATCACAAGAATTTCCTGGTTAAGCATCAGGAAGGGAGATGAGAACATCACTCGTAAGATGCTCTGTATGCAGTATCGGGGGCAACAGGAATTTATCTCAAGACACTGCTCCTGCTCATTGTGTAACGCTTTTATACCACACAACTGTAAGAGGCTGCCTTGTGCCTATCTTTTCAGCCTCCCCAGTTCTCAACAGCTGATGGACAGCAGCCTGGCTTCCCTGTGTGTTTTATAAAGCACACCCCTGGGGCTCTACAAATAAATTCAAAGCAAAGGGAAAGAAGCAGAGTGCACATACAGGCTCACTGGAAGGTTATTTATTGGAGACTTAGCAGCATTCTGCACAGTAGAAAGCATAAGGGGTGTTTCCCTGCTCAAGATCAGATGAAGCTCCTCTCCTCACCGTATCAGGTACTTGATCTAACTGAAGTATAATGAAGCCTGGACACAGCCTTGTGATCTGGGAGAACTGCAGTACAGCTCCCATGGTATTTGGCTGTTTTCTTACTGAGATTATTTTTATACTAAGATTATTCTTATACTGTATGGACAAAGAATAACTGAAGGGGCTGGCAGCAGTCTAGAGCAGCTCCGAGGCCAGGGCCATGAGGAAATGCCCATCTTGGATGGATGCAAAGGAACAAGCTGGTTCCAATACAGGGCTGCAGGGCGTATTTAGGCTCAGGTACATTCCTGAACTAAGTGACAGAGCTCAAAATGCTGAACAGTGGAAATACCTGGCCACAGCTATCGTAAATAAAGAGGCTTCCTTTAGGAGCGTGATTCTACACAGAAACTTCTGCCACGAAGAACTGGCTCAGATTAGTTAAACAAACTGCTTATTTACTGTGTTTAATGTACAGGAAGCATCAGACTGATTACAGACATTAAACGGATCCTTACCCAGCACTATGGAGCGACATTTGTCACTGCCCAGCAGAGACTTCACAGCCTTGGTGTTACTCATAAACAGGCACCGAAACAACAACAAAGCTGAGCAAGTGCTAGCGAGAAACTTGCAAACAGCACTTACCTTGTGCAAAGGCAGCACGAGGAAGGCCCCGCCGCCGCTAGCATCTACTATTATTGCAACGAATCGGGGGTTAACTGCACAAAAGGAGCTATCCCAAGTGACACGGGACACGCGGATGTCGTCGTAACACTGGTCGTTTTTCACCGCCTGGCCAAACACGTGCCGGAATTTGCTCTGTCGTACCACTCGCCTCATCGTGTCTGCGGAGAAGAGGAACGGCAAAAGGAGATCAGTTACATGTGCAGGGGGGGCCCTCCTGCTTGCCCAGAGGTGACAAGGGGACCCTCTGGTCTGCACCATCACCCTGCGTCAGCAACACAGAAACACTGCTTCATAGAATCATAGAATGAGTTGGGTTGGAAAGGAGCTTAAGGTCATCCGGGTCCAACCTGATGCCATGGGCAGGGACAGCGCACACCAAACCATGTCGCCCAAGGCTCTGTCCAGCCTGGCCTTGAACACTGCCAGGGATGGAGCATTTACCACGTCTTTGGGCAACCTATTTCAGCATCTCACCACCCTCACAGTAAAGAACTTCTTATATCCATCCCATTACCCCTTGTCCTATTACTACAATCCCTATTTCACTTGCTATCACAACACCTTGCTTTAGATCTGCAAAGTTCTCAGCCAGTTTCGCCTTTTTCTTTAGTTATTCTTAAATGTTCAGGTGGTTTTGTACCAAAACCCAACTGAACTGCACTTCCAAGTCGTTTTACAGAAAGAATTTGCTGGGGAAGCATCGCTTTTCCCATTGTAAATGGGTTCCCTTATTGCAGCAAAGGAAGCTCCTAATCCTAAAAGGAGTTTTTACACAAGTCTCCACATATTTCCAGGGCTAAATCTGGTCTCGGATTGGAACTTGTTTACTTTCAAGTCAGACAGGGTCCAGAACATGTAAATAAAAACGCAAGCTCTCCAAATCCAGTGTTCCTGTGAAGTGGTTCCACATGCTCACCAGCTCCCAGTTCTTTCTTCTGACTCCAAAATTTCACTAAGAAAATCATAAAATTAGGTTTCCTAGGCAGAAAGGAGTAATGGAAACAAGCTAATGACTCAAATTAACCTCGTGTGGCTGCAGCACTCCTGCTCCTGAGAAAAAACATCTTCATGAAGGATTAAGCTAGAATAGAGGGAAGGGGACCGGTGGAAAAATCATGGAATCAACGAGGTTGGAAAAGACCTTTAACATCATCAAGGCCACCATTAAACCATGTCATCAAGGGCCTTGTCTACATGGGTTTTTTGAGCACTTGCAGGGACGGTGACTGCAGCTCTGCCCTGGGCAGCCTGTTCCAATGCCTGAGCACCCTTTGGGGCAGGAATTGTTCCTCAGCTCTGTCTAAACCTCCCCTGGTGCAGTTTGAGGCTGTTTCCTTTTGTCTCATCCCTTGTTCCTTGGGAGAAGAGACCCAACCCCACCTCACAACCTTCTTGCAGGTAAAACTCCAGCAGCTGAACTCTGGAAGAAGACACGGACACAACACCACATGGGAACACCAACCCTGGAAGAAAGCGAGTGTCCTGCCCTCCGTGTATGTGACCTACGGACCCCACACATCTGGGACAGGCTTTTCCCATCGTACAAGGTTTCCTCCCTCCATCAGCGCTCGCAGGAGAAAGCAGAGCCTCCATCCATATAGAGTCTTGCTTTTACATATGAGAAAAGTATTTCTGCCTTATTCTCTAGGGAAGGCAAAAGAGAACTTAAAACATAAAAATAAGCAGAGCCACCTCCTATCTCTCCTCCCAGCCGGTCCCCAAGCACACGCAGAGGCTGGGAAAAACTTGGATTCATGGAGCTTCTCGCTCCAGACCCACCAGCCTGAAGCTCTCAAGTGAGAGACTGGGAACACGACAGCTCCAGCACAGCTCCCTGTGCACACACAGCCCGTCTGCAGCACGAGTGATAAAAGGTTGGGGGGCTGTCGCTGACTGCAAAGGCTTTGCATGAAAAGCCTTGAGAAAGAGACTTCAGAATGATCCCTGTTCAACAAAATAAACTAACAGCAACAAGGAGCTGCGTAAGAGAGGAAAAACACTCATCAGAGCGGGGAAACAAGCAGTCACATATGTTTGAAGGGAGAAAAACGTTACAATTAACATAACAGACAGCTATCGAGCCAAACACTCCGGTGTCTGCATAGATAGGGAGAAATAATCCCAGTATTTGTTTCCCACCAGCTCACCCTGACCACAGCCAGCTGAAGCATTTGGGAATGGGCACTGGCCACCTCCACAGAGGCTCCATCTCCACTGTGAGGACCTGCTGCCCAGATGCCAGAGCCATCACAGCCACCAGTGCACAGAGGGTCACAGCCCAGGCAGTGAGTGACCTGCTGGGGGAAACACCAGCTTCTTAAATACATACAACCACTATGGGGTCGGTTTTGAGATGGGGACAGCTGTCCCCAGGCATGGGGTGAAAGCCACACCACTAGTGATGGCCTTCAGCCACCCATGACCTGGTGACACAGCGTGAAGGGCTCTGCCTTTATTTCCAGCCACTGGGAATAGATGGGGCCTCCCTGCAGTGTTTCTCGTGGTACCATTTCTACGCTGGTGTCCTCTTAAATCTCCCAATTCACTCATTTCAAAGCTACAGAAGTGCCATGCACACCCCTGTATTACAAACTCACACAGTTTTAAGAAAAAAAAACCCCACAAGTGTCATCTTTAAATGCAAAATTTTGTGAATGACGGGGGGGTTCAAGACATCCACGTTCAAAAGAAGCTATGTATAAATTATTAATGACTGCTATCACATTATAGATGATCTGAGGCTTCCTCTGCACTTACAGAATTGCATAACGTGCTTTCTGCCAACTATTTCACAAATAAAAGGCCTGCTCCATGCAGGGCACACCCAGTGACACCAAAGTGCAATGGGAAGTCATAAACCAGGAGCTGCTCCCCAGCCCCAGCTCCAGGCAGGAACATGGAATCCAGACACCAATCTCTTTCTATGCTGGTAATGCACAGCTCCCCAGGAGTGTTCCTGTTCAGCCCTCCAGCTGGATGGAGCGTTGGGACAGGCAGTACCAGTGGGATGGTGAACTACCAGGAGCAAACCATTCCACACATGGGACATAGTCAAGCACCTGGCAGTGAAGCACACACGTTTTGGGGGTTACAAATACAAGTGCTGATGAGTGACGTGGGGTTTTGTTTTGTTTCCAGGCAAAGGAAGAGATCAGGATAGCCAAAATGGATGGGAGAAGCCGCCGAAGCAGATGGTGCATCGTGCCTGGAGGTGGAGCGCTGCCAGAACAGGGGCTGGTGGGCTCCTCGGGGATGCACGTGTGGCCATCCCAGCGGGGAGGGATGCAGGGATGGAAGATGAGGTAGGGACGTATTCCCAGAGGGAAAGGAACGCATGATCCCAAGCCAAGCCCTGCTGATTCCTCACTGAGTCACTCACAAAGAAAAGGTGAAATTCAACTCAAAACCCCCTGCGAGACGAGAAACGCGCTTTACTATCAAGCTGCCCGGGGCCCAGTTAAGAGACACCATAAAAACACGCAGCTCCACACCCAGTTATTAATGGATTGTGCAGACTCATTCAGAGACCTGACAGGCATTTTCATCCCGAGAGGGCTCCTCCCTGCTCTGAGCTGTTTGGGTGCTGTGTACAGGAAGAGTGCTGCTGCGGCGCCTCTGCATCCACCGCTTCGAGCGAGAGCAGCATCACCCCTTCCACTCACAGTGACACCAGGGCGCTCTGAGCACACAGGGATGTTCTCACAGAGCCTCAACGTGCCGCAGCACTGCAGGAAGCTTGCGGCCAGCTCAGCCCTTTCCTCCTCTAGAACACACCTTGCAGCAAAACCCTGCTTGCTCGGGGTGTGCAGCTCAAACAGGGGAAGGGAAAAAGCCCTGCTTTGTGCACAGTTGGTTTTCATGGCAATGCTCCCGTCCCACTGTGCATCAAGATTAGAATCTGATGGTTTAGGAAGGTAAAGTGAAGGCTTAAACTTGCCATGCTGAGCTAAAACACAGTAAATTGCCCAGTGTCAATGCACCGTGCACCCAGGGGTTTTGCGATTTGGCTGCTTTAATGCAGGGAATGTGGATATGGTAGTTAAGAAGGATTATTTGGATAGTTTGGATAATGATATCTTTCCTTCATTTGATCAATACCAGAACATCACCCCAAAAAAATATGCTTATCTCAAATATCAGATACCAAGACATCTGCCACCTCTTCCACTAATAGGAGAGAAACACTCTTTATCCTATGGTGAAATTCTACTCCTTTATTCCCCTCAGTTTTACCATTTGATGGAAATGGATTTTTTTGTTTGTTTTCTATAAATGACTTTAAAAAATGCAAAGAGTCAGATGTACCCAAAAATACCCTTACTTGTTCCGAACGGATTTGTTCAAGCACACCTTCGCTGCCCTCTTCCCACCTACGGCTCATCATCCTCAGCAGGAACTCTCTGATGAACACATGGTGAGCAGCCTCCAAGTCCTCATTTCCATAGCAAAGGGAGTGATTCTTGGCGTTGGATCACAGCCATTTTGATCTGGCTGCTCTCCAGAGGGAAGGAAGGGGGGAGATGTGCAGGCTGCAGTTAGAAAAGAGCAGGGGCTGCAGATCTCCAAGCACAGACAGCGAGCAGGTGAAAAACAAAGCTGGGTTAGCTCAGTGCCCAGCACCAAAAGTCATCTTCTCCCTACCCCAGCCTCTTGTGAATACATGAAGAGCATTTAATATCTCATTTGTTTCTCAATACCGCAGAGCATCCCCTCCTCCATCATCTGCAAGCAAACCACAGCTCAGTTTGGTTGCCACAGGTTCCCATAGCAGGGCCCTGTGCAGGCTCAATGTGGGCAGGAGCTCCCGGGTTGGCCCCTGGTAGGATGATCAGATGAGACCCCAACATCTGAGATGATTCACCATAAGGAAAGACTGATTCAGCCTCTATGACACACACAGAGTATAACCTGGCTGGCTGAGCGACCCTTGGGAAGTGAGTGTGGAAATACCCGAGTGGGCAAGAAAGCGCATCCCTGGCTAATGGGGCTGTGCCAGGCATTCACTCTTAGGAAATGGACTTGGAGCTGGAGCTTTAACAAGGAAGTTAATTAGATCATTGTCTGTGCTGCTGAATCTTTGCTAAGGAGCTGGAACCGTCTCCATACACTTGCTAGACAGGAAATATTTTCTCTTTTTTGGGTAAAGTACAAATTTGGA